TGCTCCTGCTCCTGCTCCTGTTCCTTCGCCTCGCCTCCTCCTCCCCCCCCCCCTCTCTCCAATCCTGTAATCCTGTTCCTAATTCTGCTCCTCTTCTTCTTTTCTCCCCCTCCCCCCCTCCTTATTCTCCTCTTCCTCGCAACCCCCCCCCACTCCCCCCTTCCTCTCTTGACCGTCTTCCTCGTACCTCTCTCCTTTCCTTGTCTTCCACATTTCACTTGCGAACCCCGGTTTTGCTTTATTAATTGATTCCCTCCCTCCCTCCCTCCCTCCCTCCCCCCCTTGATCTCTCTCCCTCTCCCCTCCTCCTCCACACTCTACTGTACATACACATACCCCCAGCTCTGATCTCCTTTCTCCCCGTCCCCTCACCTGGCTGATTTCGCTCTCATTCGTTTCAGCCTTTGTTCTTGTCTCTCCTTGACCCCTTCTTTCCTCTCCTCCCCGACTCCTATCTTGCTGCCGACGCTGCTGACACTGTAGCGAAACATGCTGCTGCTTCTGCTTTGGATGCTGCTGCCTCCCGCTCCTGCTCCTGCTCCTGCTCCTGATCCTCCTGCTCTTCTACCTCCACCGCCGCCGCTTTTGATCGCATGAAGTTTGCCGGCTCTTCTCGCTCACTCCTCCTCATCATTCTCCTTCTTTTCCTCGTCCTCCTCGTCCTCCTCTGCGGCCACCACCGTCGCTGCATGCTGATCGCATATCGGTTGCCGGCTCCTCTCATTTGTCCTTCTGGCTCGTCCTCCTCAAGTACCTCGCCTGCGCCAAAGAGATGAACTTCGCGCTCCTTCTCAGCTCCTCCGCGTCCTGCTTCTGCTGCCTCGCCAGGACCTGCAGCTCGGATCTTAGCTCGGCAATGCTCTTGCACTCTAGCCCCTTTTTCGAAAACCAGGTGGGCCACAAGCTGGGAAGGGACAGCGGAGAATGGCCGAACCTCCTTCTCAGCTTGAAAGAGCTGAGCTTGTTTTCCAGCTGCTCTCGCTCCCTCCTTTCGAGCTCGCTCTCTTTGCGTGCCAACACCCGTTCGAGCTCCTTCTGCTTCTCGTGGAGGTCGACGCAGGGAATGTCGCGCTGCTGAAACTTCTTGAACTTGAAGAGAAGATCCTCTGCCTTTCTCAGCAGGCTGTTCTGCTGCTCCCCCAGCAGCTGCTTGAGGCGCTTGTCAATGTCTGGCTTGACGACGATGAAGGTGAGCACGTCGTAGAGAAGGAGGAGGACGTTGAGACGGGAGGGCGTGCGGTACTCCTTCGCCATGTGGTACATCTCGACCATCCATTCCAACTTGGAGTTCTCCTTGACGTCCGCGTACGAGTCGTTCATGATGGCGATCAGCAGGTTGACCTGGAGAATGGTAAGTGGGAGGAGGCGGGGAGAATGAGAGGAAGGGGATAGGAGGAGGAGGGAGAAGAGAAGGAGGAGAGGGGAAGAGGAGGAGGGGGAGGGCAAGGACAAGGGCAAGGGGATGAAGAGGTAGAAAGAAGAATATGCCGACATCCATGTTAATCATCGCCGCATGTTGGAGCGATGATGAACATGATCGTTGTGATTTCGATGATAATGGACATGATGATGAACATGAACAGTGATGTAAAAGTCTAGGCAATGACCAGACTTCGGAGTTTGCATACACAGGCAGGAGAAGTCAGAAGATACCAGCATCAGGTTCATCACTGGCCACATGATGATCGTGAGTAGGTTTGACTCGACAGTGTTGAGCTCCTCGAAGAATGGCTGCGATGAGAAGGAAAACATATCAGAAACAATCTCCTGCTCTCACTTCCTCTCTTTCTCCCTCCGTTCATCTCCTGTCCTGTCCTGTCCTGTCCTGTCCTGTCCTGTCCTGTCCTGTCCTGTCCTTTCCTGTCCTTTCCTGTCCTGTCCTTTCCTGTCCTGTCCTGTCCTGTCCTACCAGTTCAATTCTTACCAACGTGCTGTCTTTTGCATCCCTCCCTGCTGTCCTCCTGTTTCTTGTTCTTGCACATTCGTAACTTCCTATCAATTTTCTCTTCCTCCACAATTACCACCACCCCTTGCAGAACTGTGCTTCCTTCTAGACTAGTTTTTCTCCTCCTCCTCCTTTTCCTCCTCCTCCTCCTCCTTTGCATCATCGACATTCATCATCATCATCACCACCACCACTACCACCACCACCATCGTCATCGTCGTCATCATCATTGCCATCATCATCAACAGCATTGCCATCATCATCAACAGCATTGCCATCATCATCATCATCATCATCATCATTAGTCTAAGCACATCAAACATCTCCGTCACCTGCCCGAACGCCTGGAAGTACGTCCTAACCAGCCACCACGTCCTCCAGGAGCTCATTTTGCTCTCACCCTGCGACTTGTGCGCGCAGTTGATGCCCGTCCCATCCATGGCGATGGAGAAGGCAAGGAGAAAATCACCCAAATAATACCAAAGGAGAGCATATCACGACTCATTCTCCTCATCACAATCACGAGAGGGCCAAGTGTCTTGTGTGCTGTAAACAACTGGAGAGCTCGGATCCACATGAGGCAGAGCGAGCATGAGAGAAAGAGCTCGTCCTGGTGCTCGTGGTAGGCGAGGGCGGAGGTCTTGCGCTGGAGGATGTCGGTGTAGCCCAGCCAGAAGAAGAGGAAGGAGAAGAGTCGCATCCAGTGCCATAGGAGGGAGAAGTAGGGTTTGCCCTCTACGATCATCTCGGTGATCTCAGTGACTGTCGTGGAGAGTTGGTAGGCAACGAGGACTTGCTGGATGGAGTTTCAGTGAGTTGCAAGGATGATGATGAGGGAGAGGAAGAGGAGGACGAGGACAAGGAGGAGAACGAGGAAGAGAACGAGAAAGATGAGGAACGAGGAAGAGAACGAGAAAGATGAGGAGGAAGAGGACGAGGAAGGGGACGAGGAAGAGGACAAGGAGGAGGACAAGGGGAAGGGTAGGTGAGAAGATTGGAGAACGGGCAGGAGAGAGGGAGAAAGAAACAGCTGAAGAGGAGGAGGAACAGAGGAGGAAGAGGTTGCGAGCAAGAGCATGAGGGAGCGGGCACGGAGGAAGAGGAAGAAGATAGGGAGGAGGTGGTGTGCGAGGAACTCAGACAGACCTCGAGGATCGAGTTCCTGCGCGTTTTTCGTCCTGGAAGATGAAGAAGGAGAACATGATGTTGATGCTGAGCTGAAGAATGACGTCGAGCGAGAAGATGGTGATGGGGGAGAGAAAGAAGAGGAAGTACCTGTGAGCAAGGGTCAGCCAGCGCAAGCATCCGCTTCCTCCACCCTCACTTGTCAGAGAAACTCAGTAAGCGGTTGTCCTCCGAGTCCGTCATGTCCTTGAAGTGATTGATGTCTTCCTCTGTTAGCTCGAAGCCTTGCCCTCCTCGCGAATCGATCATCCTGCCCTTCAGGTCACTCCCACTCACAACCCCTCCCTCTCTTTCTCGCTCCTCCTCTCTCTCTCTCTCTCTCTCTCTCTCTCTCTCTTCTCCTCCTCCTCTTCCTCCTCCTCCTCCCTCCTTGCTCCGTCTCCGTCTCCATCTCTCTTCCTCCCTCTCCCTCTCCCTCTCCCTCTCCTTCTTCCACTCCCTCTCTCTTCCTTCTCCTCCTCAAACACCGCCTTCTCACCTCTTCGCTGCCTCTTGGTGCAGAAAGAAAATCAGCCGCTCGTTCTCCTGGAACTCGCTGTCCATGTACCCCTCCCTCACATGCTTCTGCGACCGGTACCCGAAGGGGATCTTCATCCTCTGCACAGAGGAGCGGAGAGCTTCTGCAGCGGGAGGCCTGCGGTAGTTGAGGAAGGATGGGGCAAGAAAGCCGCCGGTAAGCACACATAGGAACACTGAGGAGTAGAGGCCAAGCGCCTGGTTGTAAGGGTGCAGGTCACCACTCCACATGTAGTCTATGGCCTGAGTACAGCAGGACTCGAGAAAGGAGGAGCTATCGCCGAGGATAGCCAGGTCGACTCCGTTCTGTCCCTTCCACAGTCTGCTGGGACGCTCCATGCTCTCGAGCGACTGCCGGATGTCGATGGAGTCGGCGATGTGCTGGACGTCAATGGCCATCTGCTCGAAGATGGAAGCCAAGGCCTGCATGTCGGCAGCAACTGAGGAGAGAGTGAGGAGGAGAACAAGCGGAAGAGGAGGAGGGCATGGGGAAATGCAAGCGATGAGGAGCAAGCGGAGTAGCGAAAGGTGTGCGGAGAAGCGAGCGAATAAGGAGGAGGAGGAGGAGGGAAGGAGGAAGAGGGGGGGTGGAGGGAGAAGAAGCGGGAGGGAGAGCGAGAAGAAACGCAAGGGTCAAGTCACGCATGCCGTCGCCTCCCCTCACCCTGCGGCTTGACGTCTGGCAAGGAGCTCCACTTGCGGTAGAAGGTGGAGGCAAGCAGCGCTCCCCTCACAGGAACATCCAACTTGGACCAGAAGAGCTTGGAGAGGTCGAACCGCATCATGAGTAGCGACCAGAGGAACAGGTCGAATGTTGGTCCAAGATGCGACGCCTTGTACCACCAGTTCTCGCCCATGACGTACTTGAACACCTTCTCGAACAAGCGCACATTGTCCTGTTGGTATGAGAAAGGAGGAGAGATGGAGAGATGGAGCGTTGAGAAGAGATCAGAAGATTGAGGTCAGGTGTAGTGAGAAGAGAGGATGACAAAAAGAGAACAGGAGGAAACGAGATGTAGAAACGAGAGGAGGAGACGGTTTGAGCGGAGGGCGAGGGAGAGGGAGAGGAGAGGAAAGCGACAAGAAACAAGAGAGGCGAGGAAGAGACGCAGCGAAGAAAAAAGAAAAGAGAAGCATCGTCAGAATATGACACCTTCTCCACCTACCAGACAATCCTGCCCCTGCCCCTACCCCTGCCCCTGCTCCTGCTCCTGCCCCTTCCCCTTCCCCTTCCGATTCCCCTGCTCCTGCTCCTGCTCCTTGTCCTTGTCCTGCCCCTACCCCTGCTGCTTCTGCTTCTGCTTCTGCTTCTGCTTCTCCTTGCCTTTCTCCTCCTGCACTCACCATCCCAAACTCGATGATGGACTGGCTTGCACTTGGCGTTTTCCTTACATCCTCCACAGGACGTCAGCAGGGAACAAGCACGCACTTCCTCTTACTCTTCTCCTCCAGCTGGCATCCACCCTCCCCAGCAGCTTCTTCACCTCCCCCATCTGCTGCGCTTCGGCCAGCAAGCCGTTCCAGTAGGCAACAGCAGGGACGCTCCTGCCCTTGCTGCCGAGCTGGCTGAAGGACTTGAGCGACAGGATAGCCCACTTATGACAAACGCTCTCGCTGTTGAGCTGCTTCAACATCCAGGCATGCCGCAGGACAACATCCAGGTCCTCCTCCCCCCTCCTGCGGAGATCGTAGATGGAAGAACACTTGTGGTATCTCAGCATGAGCTCGCACATCTCAGCCTCGTCACTGAGGAACGCCTGATGAAACGCATCCTCCAACGCTAGCACCGTCTTCTTCTCCCTCGTCCTCAGCTTGCGGAGCGCGTGCTTCAGCGTCCCGACGTGCCTCCAGGCGACAATGAGTGAGAGCAGGTCAGTCCATGAAGACCCTTCGTCAAGATGCTTGTTGATAACGCACGTCAGCATCGCCCCTGCAAGCTCGTGGTGCTCCTTGTTGGCAGCCTCGTTAGTGACGTCATATACCTGGAGGAGGGATAAGCTGAGAAAAGACAAGCGACAAAGTAGAAGAGAAACTGACTAAGTGAGAGGAGCTGGGAGCAGGAACAAGGAATTATGAGGAAATGATACGTTGACGCTAACAGAGCATCCATGCCAAGGATGTAATATTCACAGCATACATCACAGCACAGGCTAACAACATAGAAAACCTACATCGACGACTTACATTGCAAAGTTCGGAGCTGGCAATCTCGAGGATGGAGAGAACGGTCTCGTCGAAGTCAGCCTTGAAGTCGACATCGTATGCTTTCTGTACATCAGACTGGAGCCACTCGTCGTCAGGGTCATTGATGAACAGTCTCTGCATGATGGTTGAGACTTCGTACGCCTGCCAATCACTATCAGTCTTGACGCATGAAAGATACAGTCCTATTCCAGCCATCCAGATCTACCCTCTTATCTCATCCTCTTTATTACTATCTCCATCTCCATCTCCATCTCCATCTCCATATTTTCCTTATTCTTCTTCTCTTCATCTCCATCTCCATCTCCATCTCCTTCTCCATCTCTATCTCCATCTCCATCTCCATCTCCATATTTTCCTTATCCTTCTCCTCTTCATCCTCTTCTCCTTCCCCCGCTCTCATCCTCATCTCGCCTCTATCTCCTCTTACCGACGAAACATGACTGCTCGAGGTCGATGCGACAGATCCAGCACGTCCAAACTCTTCGTCCGACGCCAGAGAGTTCCTCTGCTGCCCCGGGATCGGCCTGTGCGTGTGTTTCTTGTAGTGAAACGCGTCTGCTATCAGATCTGCGACCTTCCCCGACCCCTTGACAAGCAGGACGGGAGTACGAGCTCTTATAGACTCCAACAGCTTCTTTACGGTCCCCTGCCCTCCCTGCACGCAGACGCACACAGAGTTGACCTCCTCAGCATGTGCAGACTCGTCAGAAGACAGAGTTGCTTGCTGCCATCCGAGCCCCCTTGCAGCAAGCTCCTTTCCGATCTTGCTCAAGTCACCCCTGTCCGCCTGCTGGATACAAGCTTCCACTGCCATTCTCAGCTTTGTCTCTCCTCCAAACTCCCCAATTGAGCCGTCGTCGTAGAGGAGGAAGTGAGAATGATCTCGATTCATTCTGACGCTGTTCACTCCCCTCGGCTTCATTGTCACAAACTTCTTCTCGTGCTCCCCAAAGTTGTTCACCGGCAACTTCTCGATGTGAGGAAGGACGCGGCAGTCAGCGGGATTGTCCCACAGCGCCTGCCGTCCCTCTATCAGCCCCCAGGGGCAGAACCCGATAAGAGGGACATCAGCTTCGCAAGCTCTCTTAGCTTCTCCGATCATCTTAGCTACCCCAGCGTCGATCCCAATGGTCGTGATCCAGGCGCGAGTGCTCTTGGCAACCGTGACGAGGTGCTTGAAGAAGACGTTACGGGACTCAACGTTCATGTCAAAGTCCAGGGAGGACCCGATAAGGGAGATGAGCAACTTGGGCGGCCGCAAGTGCCAGACTTTTTCCATGAAGAAAACCACCAGCGATGCTAGCCTTGCCTCGTCCGCTGCTCCCCTCCCTTCCCTTGACATGGGGGTGACCAACCGAGGGATTCTGATGTAGGATGCAGGATTCTCAGAAGCATCCCAGGAGATGCATCCGAAGGCGACGTCAGAGCCTTCACCCGGGGATATGAACGAGGTAAACGATTCGTCTTTCTGCGAGTCCTTTGCGTGCTTTGGCAACCTCCCTTCGCAGAAACCAGAAGGAATGCGATACCTGAAAGAAACTTTGGTTTCAGCTTTGCCCTTTTCGATCTTCTTCACCCCAAGTGCAAAGCACTGTTGTTTCCCAATGAGACTTCCAGCCCCTCCTCCAGTAGCTACCACGAAGTCATGAAGCATATCAAACGATCTGCGATCTCTTGGGGTATCCTGTGCAGTCGATGTATCGTCTTTCTCTTCATCTTCTTGTCTTAGCGACGTCTGATTGACTTCTGTGTCGTCAAAACTCGTCCTGACGATGTTTGCCTCAGTGTTCTGGCCAAAGTTGACCGAGTGTACTTTCTTGAGCCTCCTTCTCAGATCTTCCTTTCCGTGCTTCATGACTGTTTGCGACGGAAGGTCGATGATGCCGAGGTGCCGAGCAACTACAAATCACATCAGAATTTGTGATCGTAAAGATGCTAAACATTGCTGGACCATCTAATCACTCCTATCATTCTTCCATTTTCAGAATCTTGCAGAGTGTACATGGAGACAAGCTTTTCCTTGTGCGAGCAATGAGACAACCACAGATATGTTCTAGTTTGAGAGAGCAACAAAGAACAAAAGGAGAACAGTGGAAAAACACGACACGAAGATGAATCAAAGCGAGGATCATTGTTTGGGACAGATTGAGCAGAAACAAGCAAAATGAAGCAGCAAGAGGATTAGGTAGTGTACAATATGGGAGCCAGGGGGCAAGGGGGGGGAAGGAGCGGGGAGCAGGGGGGGCAGAAGGAGCAGAATGAAGGATCAGAAGTATCAGGAGGATCAGAAGTTTCAGGAGGAGCAGGAGGAGCAGGTAGAGCAGGTAGAGCAGGCAGAGCAGGCAGAGCAGGTAGAGCAGGTAGAGCAGGTAGAGCAGGTAGAGCAGGTAGAGCAGGTAGAGCAGGTAGAGCAGGTAGAGCAGGTAGAGCAGGTAGAGCAGGTAGAGCAGGTAGAGCAGGTAGAGCAGGTAGAGCAGGTAGAGCAGGTAGAGCAGGTAGAGCAGAAGGAGCAGGGGGCTGCATAGCGATTCGGTAGCCAGTCCTTCAACACAGGGGCGACCATGCCGATGTCGACCGACATTTGAGTGAAGGTAGAGCACTACTCACACAACTTGACCCTCCCACCTCCTCTCCCTTACTTTGAACTAGTAGGGGTAGTTGAAATGGACATAGCTTGGACCTACACGGTGGGGTAGGAGGAAAGACCCTAGG